CCCAATTTGTGTGAACTAATTTGCCTCATGACAAATAACACCTATTCATGAGGAGACAGTCTGCTGTAATGGAAAGAAGACTGCATTAGGTATGAGAAGAACATTTAAATCTGAATCACATTTCAGTTTGTGTGAACTCTGGTTGGTCATTTAACCTTTTCGCAGTTACAGTTTCCTCATCTATAAACAGTGAGATAAAAATGCCCTACCTACATTGCAGGGTTATAATATAATGAAAAGAAATAATAGATATAAAGCATTGATAAACATATTAATATGCATGTGGCTGTTACTTAGTATTAATTATTGGCATTAGAAGACAGCTAAGTTACTGGTGCTCTGAGACAGACTCTATGTAAAGCTAATCGGCCCCAAGGGAATCAAATTTATGACCTTTTATGTATTAATTATCTCATGTTCAAACCAACTAGTCTAATAGGCCCAAGCCATATATAATACCTCTCCTTTGCATACATTTATAATGAAAGGTAATTTTTCATTATTTTGGTGGAGTGTTTTCACAAAATCTTTGAGGATGACAATTTTCTTAGCATTAGTGTATTAGCAGAAGTAGTCAATGTCGAATTAATAATGCTGATCAGAAATCTATGCAAGTGTTTTTTCATGTACTGTTAAGCCCTTAGATGTTGCTAAATTAAATAAAGTATGTGTAATTTTAAACAAAGCACAAATGTCTACCGATAAGTTTTCTTTGCTCTTATATTTAACTTTAAGCATTTAAACTTTGGGTCCTTTCTATTTTAGGGACATGGGCTCTCAGGTGTATCAGGAATTCCAGGCCCGCCTCCATTGCCAGGTGCTGGGCCATCCCCACCACCACCTCCACCACCACCACCTCTACCCGGAGGAGCTCCCCCTCCTCCTCCACCTCCTTTACCTGGAATGATTGGTGGTGTACCACCGCCACCACCACCACCACCTTTGTTTGGGGGGCCTCCTCCTCCACCTCCTCTTGGAGGAGTTCCTCCTCCCCCAGGAGCACCAATAGATCTGCCTTTTGGAATGAAGCAGAAAAAAATATATACACCTGAGGTGTCCATGAAGCGAATCAACTGGTCAAAGGTAATACTCCAACTAGAGTTTTTTGGTTTTGTCTAGATATGGTCGATCATTAATATGTGAATAACTGTATTGCTACATATAAGTATTATATACTGTTCGAGAACGTGACTCTTGACTCTCTGCTTTCCTTTGTGAGTTCATATATTACTTTAATTTTGTTCAGCCTTCAGTTTAGTTCCTAGAGGATTAGAAACTCCACAGATAATTTGGAATTAATGTAGAAGGCAAAAGAAAAATCAAAGTGAGGGTGGTGTTAGAGAATAATAGGTGAAATATATCGCCAAATGAAAACTAATTTTGATTCTTTTACCATTGTTAACTTTAAGTACTGTAACATTTGTAAATACAGTCTTTTTATTGAGCCTTTTAATCTTATTAATTTTTGTTTTTAGACAATGAATTTTCTTTTTAGTTTTAAACTTTCTGATAGTGTGGAATAGGTGACAGTATCCAGTAGTGACGTAAACTATTTGCTTTTTGATATGACATATGAAAATTTTTTTCTTTTTAATCCTATATTGCTTTATTATTATCAAATAATATATCATGTAAAAAAAAAACCTTATTATCAAGATTGACACAGTCCCTATTCACTAGGAACTAATCTTCTAATGAAGATGGCTACCCAGACCACCATTTGGGAAAATGACTTATTTAAGAACATACTTATAGGGATACCTGACAGTATCTACATAGTAAATTGATTTGACCAGAATAATTGTTAAATCAGTTTTAAAGTTAAGCATATACTTTTGCTTTGGTCATAAAAGTAAATGAAATATAAATGGTTTTAGAAAGTAGGTTATTATTATTATTATTATTATTATTATTATTATTATTATTATACATACAATTCACCGGACTGTAGGATCCAGAATTTGTTGGCCTGGTGTGTGTAAATGTAACGATATGTTAATTTAGCAATTTAGTGTACAGCGTAATGGTACTTATGTGTCACAAAGCATCATGATGTACTGTAAAATGCATGATTTTAATCCTGGGTTTCAGTGTAGTAGCTAAAAGCACAATTCTTTGGAGCTGCACTGCCTAGATTTAAATCCATCTTTGCTGTTTACTAGCTAGGGCAGCCACTTAAACTTTCTGGAGCTCACTCAGTTTCCTCACCTTTAACATGGAGATGATAATAGCTCCTGCCTCAAAGGATTATTGTGAGGATTAGATTAGATGAATTAAATATGCAAATAACTTAAAACAGTATAGGACACATGGTAGGAAGCATGTGTTAACTATTAGTATGGCTATTGCCTTCAAACTAGTCAGTGAACATGGGGAATTCACATTTCTGAATCTTAGTTTCTCCGTTTTTAAAAATCTAGGAACAAGAAGAATGTATGTGAGTTAGGGAAGAAGTTACTAAATTATTTTTAAGGTTCTTCTTGTAGATTTTTTTTTTTCAGTAGACAATGTCTTAAAATGTAAATTGCTATATGGCCTATTGCTATTGTGTACCTTTTCTATATACTGATAGAATTCTGTGACTTTCTCAATGAATATTTACTTAAAAAGCATTATTTTGATAGATCCTAAAATCGATTTACTAGGTAGATGAATAAAGGAACTGCCTTTCAATCTCGACGAAAGTGAATTTTTAAAAAAATAAATATGAAGTAATATTTTAAAAACTTATCTTTGTTATTTTTGTTTCAGATTGAACCCAAAGAATTATCTGAGAACTGTTTCTGGTTAAAAGTTAAGGAGGACAAGTTTGAAAATCCAGATCTCTTTGCAAAATTGTCACTGAATTTTGCTACCCAGATAAAAGGTATGTTTTATTGTTTTAAATATAAATTCTTTATTCTGATGTGTTGAATTAAGTGCTTGCTAAAATTTCTAGCAGTGTATATATGTGTCATCTTTCCACAATGTGCAGAGTCAAATATAAATAGATTAACATATTAACTGTATTGACCCAACAACTACAGAAGGATAGCTCTTTTTTTTTGTTTTAATTTTATTTTCCATACATGTCATTATTCATCTGAAAATATGGGTTTATTTTTATTATTTAATATGGGAGTTATACCCCTCTATTATAAAGTTATCATTTTTACCATGAAGCAGAGAAGGTGAATTTGTTGATTCATCGTGTGAGAGAAAATAATGTAACAGAATGCTAATGGCTCACAGTTTTCATGAAATTGGAATAAGATTGGTGCCATAGTGCTTAAATAGTTTTTCCTCTTACATTTGTACTACTTGTCAATTTGGTTTCCTAGAACATTTTATAGCCTTTTTCTATAAGTAGATTTTCTGGAGTAGTATCAAAATTTGATACCTAATCAAGTATATTTTACTGATTTGATAATAGCATACCTTGTTTATTATTAGATCCTTAACCTTTTGTGCTGTATAGGTAACTTGTCAATCTCATAATTCAATATTGTGGTCTGTGGGGTTTTGATATTTGATATTAACATTATTATTTAACTAATTATTACAGAATTGATAGTTTAGTTAAGCATAGATTTTTTTTCAGTCTGAATGAGTCTTTACAATTAAGAAATTGATGTATTTCATATGCCAATGTCCTTGCAATTTGCACCTTTATCATTCAGTTGACTGAATTGTCACAATATGCCTTAGTATGTGAAAATGTAAATTTTAGAAGAGACAGAGACAGAGAGAGAGAGAGAGAGAGAGAGAGAGAGAGAGAGAGAGAGAAGAGGGAGGGAGATGGGAAGGGAGAGGGAGATGGGAAGGGAGAGGGAGAAATGGAAATGGAAATTATTTCTTTTCATCTCTTTTATCATATCTTGCACACTGGAGGTCCGTCCTTGTGCTGTATTTATTGTTCCTTGTATATTGAAGTTAACACACACACACAAATCTGAGAGGATTAGAGTATTCTGAAGAATTTTGACATTTAAAAAATTCCTGTCATTAGATCTTTTTTCCTTATTTGCTATAGTAGACTCACATTTCAAGGGTTCTTCAATGATTCTAGAGATTACTACTTATTATAATCACTTTTTTAAATTGGCAAAGTAAAACTTGCTTATATTAAGGTATGCATATAGTAAAAATAAAAAAATAAAAAGATGCAAGGTAAACATATCCCTTCTATCCCAGACTTACAGCTTCTTCCCTAGAGAAAACCACTTTCACTAATTTCTCGCATTGCCTCCTGGAAATAGTCTGTGCCTCGAAACTCATATGTATATTTATTATTTTTTGTTTTTCGCTTCTTGCTGTTTTCACTTTATGTCTTTGGATATTATTCCATAATAGCTTATTATGTTTATCTACTGTGTTCCTTTTATGCATTGCATAGAATGGTGTGGTCTGGGCCTATTTTAATTTATTTAACCAGTCCCCTATTAATGGTTATTTAGATTAGTTCCAGTCTTTCACTAGTTCGACCAATGTTTCAGTGAACATGTACCTACATATACCTTTGTGCACATAAGATCTATCTGTAGGATAAATTCGAATAGTGAAATTCCTAGATAAAATGCTCTGTACATTTATAATTTTGATAGATATTACCAAATTGCCTTCCAAAGAGTTTGTGTTCATTTATAATGCCACCAAAAATATATATGTGTATCTGTTTCCCACAACCTTTGCTCATCTCAGAGGTGAAATTGTAATCGTCTGTGTTATAATTTTTACTTCTTAAATTAGGAGTAAAGTTGAGCAGCTTTCCTTCTATTCATAGGCAATTTTAATTTCTTTCCTTCTGTGAAATTTTCCCTCTAGTTCTTTGCACATTTTGTATTGAGCAGTTGCTCTTTTACTTATTGATGAATTTGTATTAGGTTGCCCAAGAATCATAGGTTTCATAAAATTTTAGCGTTCATCCAGACCTTAGAAGTGACTATTTTACAAATGAAGAAAATGAAGTTTGAAACATAGTGGTAAGTATAAAACTCGTTAGAGAGTTTCGAAGGTAGTGTTGCATAATGGGAAAAGCCAGAGGAAATGGAGTCACACATATGTGCATTCCAGCTGTGATACTTGTAACCTCTGAGACTGAATTTTCTCATCCATAAAATGAGTAGACTAATGTTTACCTAGTAGTGTTGCGAGAATTAAATAAGGTTATATATTTAAAGCACCCAGCACAGTGCTTAGCATAGCAGGCACTCAATAAATATGAATTCTCTTTTCCCTTTCATTTAGCATGATGTGGTTGTGTGTGTATGTGTGCACGCATGTTTTGTTTTTGTTATTGATACTGAATACAACTGCTAATTCGGCAAGAGAATTTCCTGCTCTTCTGAGCAGTACTTGATAGAGACAGTTACAATAAAAGCAATTGTTGCTGTGGCTGCTACAACCTAATCAAAACCAAGTGAAACTGAACAAAAATCATATAAAGGCTCTCATGTATTTACTGCTGAGAATACTGCATTTCCATTCTTCTTAACTTATTCTCTGAATTTTCTATGCAATACTACTATTACTTTTTTCCTAATTTTGAATATTTGAGTACAACTCAGATCAGGAACACCTTTCAGTACCATCACTTTTACTAAGATTTATTTCTGAAAGCACGTTTAAAGGAATAATTAAGCATAACAGCACATTCCAGAAATGCATAATATAGCCAAAACAAATTTTAATGGTACAAAACTGCCATTTCTTTTCATAACACTTAACTGTTGATCGATCTTACTGTAATAGCTGAAGTTCCTTGTCACTTGCAGTGCCTTGATTCATAATTTGGTCAGTAGGTGGCAGGATCAGTAAGAAATCAGCCTGGCTTTACTGAACCACACTGCCCTGGTGTTCCTAGCTCCAGGGCATCACTTTCTTCCCCATTCTGCTGCAGTTTTCATCACTCTGCGGCATTCTGGAAGGTGTGACATACTCATTGTTTCGAAGACCTATTTCCAAAGCTCTTAGACACAGTGTTCTAAAGCCTCTGAACATTTCTTCCTACTGCAAGGGATTTGGAGAGCTCACATCTCAGTGTTCCCTAAACGCATTGTAAAGCATTACTGATCTATGTTTTAAGAAAATGTTTAATTTGGGAGTTCTAAGTTGATTTGGATTACTAAATAGAAAGAAGTTTCAAAATATGTTAGCTCTGATACCTATAACATTTAAATGTGTAAATATTTACTATGAAAAAGTACCATTAAAATATACTTTCTGTTTGAGTTACTTATTCTTAGAGTTATAGAGAAATTTATTTTTAATTTTTTATTATAAACTGAATTATTTCTATTTTAGGAGAGAATGGATCTCTTAATTCATTTAATTCCTATAGAGTACCCACCGTATGTAAGGCACTATACTAAATTGGAGAGAGAGAAATGAAGAAGGTCTTGTTCCTGTACAGGGAACTCATCATCTAGTGAGGGAGAGAGGAAGAGGTATACTTACTACATTTAGTCAAGTTGTATTAAATGTTAACAAATATTTTTAAAAAGCCGTAGTAGCACAAAATGGAAATAGTTAATTTGGAGTAGGGCAAATAGAGATCCTAGAGGTAATATCATTTGAGATGGGCCTTGATAGTTAAGTAGAATACCAATAGGAGAAGAAAGAAAGAAGGCATTCTAGGCAAAGAACATCATTAGCAGAGTATAGGGGTGGGGAGGTGAAGTGCATGCTTTGTTGAAAGCACAGCCTGTTGGGTTGGGACTTGGGGGTGAAGACAGTAAGGCAGACTTCACATTGAGGAAATGGAGTTTTGTTCTTTAATCATTAGGGGCTCAATAATTCGATGATTGACCACTGAGCAGGCATTTGGCAGACAAGTGATGGGTATTCACAGATAGGTGAGAAGGCATTGATTGTGAGTAACTACCAGTAGGCTAGACAAGATATGATATCCTGACCAGGATAAATTCCTATTCTCTGTAATATAATCCCATGCTTATATTGTTTAGATTCTTTTTACAAGCCATAATGATACTGTATGACAAAGTATATCTCAAAATGCTCTTTAGATTAATGAAAAACAATTATATATCTATATATATTAGAGGCATCTGGAAAAGGCCTTATTACTATATTTGAATATACATCATATATGAAGCTGTTAGAATTTGCATGTTTTAGTTTTATTTATTACTTGATTTGATGATATTTGGCAACATATCAACATCAAGGCTATAATAAGAGTGTCATTTTCCTTAAAAATCTATAGTAATTATAGATAATAGTGACATTATAAAAGAATTAAAGTGAAGATGGCTAATATTAACTAAACTTGAAATAATAATAAAATATGTAGGTTATAATGGCTAATTCTAATTAGAATTTCTAGGATTCTCTAGAGGCTCCACAAAGAACAAAGTTAGTGTGTGTAAGTTGTAAGCAATTCTTGGTTTTAATGTTGTTTGGAGGAAATATGAGAAATAAACATGAGAGGTTAATAAAATTTAGCTTCTTCAAAAATATATTTCTATAGTACAATTTAGCTTTAATAATAACATAAAATTGAGGTGTTACACATATTTCAAATGCATATAAATGTCATTTTGCAATGCTTGAAATATTGGGCATAGCTTCAAAATTATGGTGGAACTGAGTTTGAAGATGTGTTTATGTAAAAGTATTTTTCCTCTAGGATCATATTTTAAATTCTTAGTCTTAGAATCAGCTGGCTGCTTTTGAAGATACCTACTCTGGTTGCCTAATACAGTCTTCTATATTTAGTAAAGCAATGAAAAAACAAGAGTGGTAAAATCTAATTAATCTCTGTCTTCATAACATAGAAATTCTTGGAATTGACCTGAAAATAATGAGGTGTCAGTCTTAGAGCACACACCCCTATAAGATGGTGCTAAAGTGTCGTGAGAGACCTAG